ACCTCCAATAAAGTAAATCTAATATAAGGAATGGCAGTCATTTTCACATTGCCCTAATTTCTTTCCTGTTACAAATGATCACTCTTCAAGTAAGATGAATGCTTTCCCTTTAGGATGGTTTCTTTCAAGTATTTAAAGACAACTGTTCTAGCCTCAGGTCTTTGCTTAGCAAAAAGGTATATACTATTGTTAACTAACTCTGGCCAACCCGTAAGAGTTACCAGGTGACTGAAGATCCTCTGGAAAGGATATGGCTGCCCAAGCTGTATAATATTCCAGTGTTCCAGAGGTAATCTGTCCCATGCCACATAATAGAACAGAATAAGACAATTATCTTCTCAGCTCTTCACATACCCTTAAAGGCTCCCCTATACCCAGCCCCATCACATTTTCAAAATATCAGGATCTGGATACTTTGATGAAAGGTGGTTAAAAATTTTCAATTGCTAAACACAGTAACCAAAGGGCACTAATCAATGGACTGATGTTAACTGGCGGGGGGGGAATCCTGATTGGCCCTTAATTTTAATTCTTCCCTTTCAGATATGTTCTGCTTAAATAAAGTCATCAACTTTTTAAAAAAATATATTTTTATTGATTTCAAAGAGGAAGAGAGAGAGAGAGAGAGAGAGAGAGAGACATTAATGATGAGAATCATTGATCAACTGCCTCCTGCATGCCCCACACTGGGGATCAAGCCCACAACTGGGTATGTGCCCCAACCAGGAATGACCTTCTGGTTCAAAGGTCCATGGTCAACCACTGAGCCACACTGGCCAAGCTCAACTTTCTTTTCTCAGGGTCTCTTTATCTGAGGTCCGTTTGTTGTGGTTAGGCTACTAACTTTGAGTTCTTTACCTGCAAGGCCAATGCCTTATTTGAAAATATCCAAGACCTAGCATAGGCCTTTTAAAAGTGCTAAAGAAATTCAAGTTCCAGAAGTGCAACCTCTGTGGCCTACTAGAGCAGCTTTACAAATTTGTAAATATTTTTTTAACCACAGGGCACCATGAAGGAGTATAGGAAAACATGAAAAACTGCATTGTAAAATAAAGGACACTTTATCTAATGTGATAGGCATATATTTAGGTAATAAAGGGCTCAGTAAGTATTTGCTAATCATGTATTTGTGGATTAGGCTGATATAGTTTCTTTAAAGAATAGGAAATGAAAACAACAGACCATTAGAACAGGAAAGCATCAGGCAAAATGTGCACTTTTTAAATAGATTTTTATTGATTTCAGAGAGGAAGGGAGAGGGGGAGAGAGAAAGGAAAAGAGAGAGAAAGAGAGAGAGAGAGAGAGAGAGAGAGAAACATTAATGGTGAGAGAGAATCATTGATCAGCTGCCTACTAGGGATCGAGCCTGCAACCCAGGCATGTGCCCTTGACTGGAATCGAACCCAGGACCCCTCAGTCCACAGGCCGAGGCTCTGTCCATTGAGCCAAACCAGTCAGGGCCAGGCAAAATGTATTTTATCAAACTAACCTAACCTTAATAATTTAGCTAAAACCCTGCCTCCCTACTTACAAGATGATTCCAATTGCCTATCTCAAGACAACAAGATTTGATGACAAGTTACCTTTGATGGAAACATAATTAATGCTAGTTTCCAGGTTAAATCCACTTACCACTTGGCATGTATTCCCACCAGCGCCCAGCACAGAGATCCACAACCCTCACAACTCTCAGGTACAGGGTCACTGCTTCCTTTAGCTTCCGGGAAAGACATTCCATACACATGATATCCTGCAGAGGGAGGTACCTTTGTGAGAGAAAGAAACTCATATTTATCAAGTGTATAAGGACTTCCTCTCCCTGATGGGTGATATTTTCCTTCTTCCATTCTCCTACCCATCAAATGAAATAAGACCTTAGGAATATTCATACGGTTTTAAGATTAATAGGCATATATGGCTTTTTACTAAAAACAGGTAAGTCAGCAAATACTCAAGTATCCAAATAAAAAGTATTGAGCTTCCTCCATAGGGTATTTAATAGAACCTGCCTTTCTTCTTTTAAGTTTTTAAGGACAAAAGAATCTCCAAAAGAAAAAAAGTAGGAAGAAAAAAACCTCAATGCATTTCAAATCATGGTGTTAAGAGAATGCAAGGAAGATGAGAGTACTGATCATTTTGAACATGCCCAATATTATTTTATAGCTTTTCTAGATCCATTTTCTGTAGTGTCTAAAAAATTCCTCTCTGCTCCCTCAACAACCCAAGAAACTCTATTTTCTCAGATACGTACAGTAAGTTTATAGTATATAATTTTCCCTAGATCTTCTACCTTTTAGATCACACACTTTGATAAAAGTATTTCATAAACATTAAGTGAGAACACTTTATCTGAATTGCAATTTCCTCTTTTCCAACCTCGTTATACTTTCCTTCTTGAAACTGTTCAATTAACCTTTATTTTGCTGTTTCCAGTAATACCAACATATATTTTGAAAGATCAGAAAGTATTCTTTTTCAACACCCTTCCATGCACACTTAGATTAATTTTTTAAAAAACATACAAGCTACCCTTTATGGAGATGGTGTCATGTCACAGACGGAAATCACTGTTTCACAACTTTGCAAGGTAGGCTGTCAATGTTTGCCACACAGCCCTCCCCCATCTTTTCTTTCCTTCTCTGCTCTGCTGTGTTCCCTACCACTCTATCAGTTGACTTTGGCCAATGTCAAGTCCAGGTAAAGGCTTTCTGCATTGCTAGTCCCCTACCTGAATTCTTCAACATCCCTCATTGATTCCTTTAACCCTACCCCTTCCCACACTCTCAAAATAGTCCCTTCATTAAATTATCTTCAAATTCCAGCTGAGTGTATCTTGTTTCCTGCTAGAATCCTCACTGATAAAGTAGGTGCTATAATTATTCCATTTTGCAAGTGGTGAATTGGCTCAGAAAAAACCTGCAAAAAGTCAACAGCCAGGTAAGAGGGAGGAAGAGAAGATGTCAACACAGCTGGGTCTGAGTATAATCCTAAAAATTAAGCTAATTCTAAAAGAAAAGTCCAAGTATGCCTGATGAATATTTCTTTACTCCATTTTTTTCCTACCTCTGGCTCCTCTCCCTTCCTCTTTAAAACTATTTAAATAAAGAGAATCAAGTCAAATCATTTCCTCTACCAAAATAAAAGTATTACCGCTAACTTAATTTACAGCCTCCATAACTTAAAGGTACGCAGAATTTTCAGAAACTATATAACTACACATTTTATAAACAATGAAAAATATTGAGTTTAGTTTTGCCACTAAAACATTTCCCCCCAAATCATTGTTATCCAAAGTATTTGCCTCAGTTAATATTATACTCCCTTTAAATACAAATAGATCAGTAATCACACGAAGTTTATCTTACATCACATTTGCCCTCAGAAAAAGAAATGTTATTTTTTCTTCACAGATACATAGTCAATGGGCTAGAGTTCAAAAGGCAGATCAAATACATTTTAGAAAAGATGTGTTTAACATGGCACACACAACAAAGATTAGGTTTCTTTTAAGGAAGCCATAGTTTTACTTATTTCATGAAAACATGCTAAGTAATTATCAAAAACTAAAACACTGCTCCTCGGATAAAAATGTCAGAAGCTTAAAAATAAATCTTTTTTTAGAATAAACAGCTCATACCCAATTTAAGTATTGAGCTTAGTTCACAGTTCTTTACATTCTGCCAATTTGCTGCATGCTTTTTGCATGAGAACCAGAATAACATCCTTGTGCTTGACTCCAACCCTTCCATTTAAGTATTCTGTTTGAACTGTATAATGTTATTTGATCCACTCTCAACTTAAAATACGATCCAATTTTGTTCATAGTATGTCCTTCCATCATTCACAAAAGTCTAACACACATGCCTGGAAACAACTTTATCTATGATTTCTTCTGGAATTTTAATAGCTCTATTGTTTATTTCATTGATGCACTTAGAATTTAGTTGTCAGCTATGAGATAAGAACATGCTTTTATTATTTTCTCCAAATGGCTTTCAGGTTGTGACATCATCAATGAATAATAACCCACATTGCTTTTCCTCAGTGATGAATACCAACCTTATTATAAACAAGATTCCCCACATATATTTGAATTTACATATGGAGCCTACATATAGAGCCTACTGCCAGGATATCTTCTCCGATTCCAAATCTTTAATTATTGTATATTTTTAAATGTATTTGAATATCTGATAAGGTTACACTCTTTTTTCAAAAAATTTTGGCTATTCTAGTAGACATTTTTCTGTAAGATGAACTTCAGCAGTTTTTCATTATGTTAAAAAAAATCTGTTATTTTAATTGGGCCCCTATTCCCAGAACTAAACTAATAAAAACTACATACACTATGTCACAAAGTAACAAACTGAAGATGATAAAGACTAATACAAATTTATATTAGAAAATAAAGTATCCATGGTTCCCTAAAGTAACTCTGCTACTTCTTAAAAACATCTAAATTTACAAATATTTAATAATTTTTAAAAATTCAAATCATCTCCAAGAACTTCATATGGAAATTTACTCTAGAAAATAATCTAAAATAATTGAAAATTCAGATGATTAGAAAAGTTCACTGTAACTGTGTAAGAGAAAAACTGGAAACAATCCAGATGTCAGAACACAAGGGGTAAGGTAATTATCATGTCATAGGAATAGAACACAGTGACTAAAATGATAATTATGAAGACCATGTAGCAATATGAAGCATTTATGCCACGCAGTGTGTGAGGTGCTTTAAAAGCATTATCTCATTGAATCCTTACTCACTGGTCCACAGCTAGTAAATGAGAGACTCAGGATTCAAACTCAGGTCTCCAATTCCAGAAACAAAGCATATTAGGATTTATTTATTGAATGGATCATGACTGAAGTAAGAGAGCAGGGGAAACTAGAAAGACAGGTTATTTTTGTTGATGTTGTGAGTTTTTTGTTTGTTTGTTTTGGTTTCTTTAACTACTGTTATAATGCAATTTGGATAAAATATAATTCAAAAAAAGATTCTGAAAAAAAGTTCATCACAAAATAACTTTCATGTGTGCACTGCATATGGTAATGATAAGTATTATTTCACAAAACTTTTGATTCAACCACTTACATATATCTGCATACTGAGCAAAAATGTGTTTCTCAATGTGGGTTGTAGTAAAAAAAAAAAAGTCAGAAATGCTGCCTTACATACACAGTGATATAATAACAAAAGTCAACAAGTCTTTTAGTCAAAAAGAATTCCAAGAAGCCTGGAATGTTAACAGAGTCTAGAAAATAGCTGTCCAATAGAACTTTCTGCAACAAAAGAAATAATCTTACCTAAAAATATGGCAAAGCACTTCATGTGAAAGCTGATTCATATAATCTTTTGTTTCCTCTGATACTGTTTCCTCAGGGATCTCATTATTCATAAGACATCTTTTAACACTTTTCTTTCGTGGACCCATCGCTGCTGCGTTATCTCCAATATAGAAGAGCAAATCTCCCCTCTTGGTTATTTGAATTCAAAGTACCTGAAAGCAAGCAGAGAACAAAGGAGATAAAGTAGCAAATCAGATGCAGAAATTATCCCTCTAAAACCTAGATACTAGTAAAAACAACATTTACTTTAAAATACAGACAAAAGATAATTACAATGGTACAGATCACATTCAAATTAATAAAACTATTACACATAAGGCGCAGAACATAGTTTTCTGAAGAACAGTACAGAATATACAACAATTATTTAGAATGAGCAAAAATCCAGGGAACCAGGAGTCTTAGATTCTAATTTGTATTCTGTTGCTTCTTAGCTAACTTACTCAATTTCACCAAGCATCAGTTTCTTCAAATATAAGGCAAGAGCTTTCACTTCTCAGCCACTTGATTGCTACTCTCATCAACTGTACCATAATATTGCTCTTGTATCCAATCCCACTGGCTTTCAGGCCTCTATCAGCCCTCACCTGGTCTATAGCAATGGCTTCCTAAATGATATCCACCACTATAATGCCAGGGCCCGGAATAAAGCCTGCCACACAGTAGGCCTATATTATATAATTTGCTGAATAAATGCTTACCATACCATACTCCACACTGAAGCTAGAGTTATCATTGTACAACATTCCTCTGATTGCCTCCTAAGTGAAAAGAGCAAGATGTTGAATTTGCATAAAAGAAAAAGGAAAAATATGTTTGTGTTGGCATGGGACATTTTTGGCAGGATGCATGATAAAATATTAACAGTGGTTACCTCTGGGGGAGTAAGAACAGAGATTTAGGAAAGTGGAAAAGGGACTTTTACTTTTCATATTCTTCTCCATTGTTTGAAAATTTTAGATCGGTCATGTGTAGCTCTTAAAAAACACACAATGACTGAATCAGCCTGCAAGAAATCCTAGTTTCTAGGATAAATCTTTCCAATGTGGTCTCAAGCCACCTTTCCTATCTCACTTTTCAGTCCTACCACTTGCTCCTCAGGACACTCACTCCAGTCACACCAACATCCTCACTTCCCTTAAACCATCATTGATCTTTCATCCCTAATAACCTATTGACTCCCGGCTAGGAAGTCCTTCCCTTCCTTATTTTTTGGCCTAAGAAACCACTAATTTTTGTGTTTTCTTTAATCTGCCTTCAAAATCTAGTTTAAATGTTAAGTCCTCTGTGAAAACTTCTCCCTGGGAGCTTCTACCATAGCAACTTGTGTAATATTTTATTCACCATGTCTCTGCCAGGAAAAGAAACTCAACCTCTGCCTCTAGGTGATAACAAGTCCTTGGCTCATAATAAACCCTCAAATGTCTGATGTATGAATACCCATCAGTCCTTCCATTACTCATATGCATTCAGCAGCTTCAAGGCTGCTAAGAACCATTTCATGTCCCTATTTGCTGCCATGGCACTCAATGACCTCAGCAGCAAGCTTATAACCCTGCAAAAATGTAATCAGATGTTACTCCTATAAGGACACATCACAGCTACCCTGCAGCATGTAAATGACTCAACAAGACTATTAACGAGTACAGAGTAATCCAACCATGGGTTAATTCTCTAGCTATCATATTTTAACGTTTCACCTTTAAAAGAATCTTCACAACTCTGCTCTGGCCAGGGAGCTCAGTTGGTTAGAGCAGCGGTCGCCAAGCAGTGGTCTGTGGACCACTGGTGGTGTGTGAGGTCTGAAAGGTTGGCGACCGCTGGGTTAGAGCATCATCCCTACAAGCCAGGTTGTGGAGATTCTGGGTCAGAGTACATAAAAGAAGCAACCAATGAATGCATAAATAAGTAAAGCAACAAACTGTGGTTTCTCTCTCTCTCAAAACTCAATAAATTTTTTTAAAGAAATCTTCACAATTCTATTCACTCATACAATATTGACTCTTCATCCTTTAAGTAAAAATCCTTCTTAGCCAAATCCACACCAATTCATAATTTACCCCCTCATCTACAATCCCACCTTTTATTGTCCCTTTATATTTGATAATTCTGTGGTTTTGTGTGAGTCAGATTTAGTAGCCCCAGTGTACAACCTACATTTGAATTTTTTAAACCAAATTGAATGCATCTTAAATATCATTGAGTTTATATAAGTTCACTTGTTTGGAACTCAGAGAAACATTTACTCACTAAATATAACATTATGCACATCATATAGATGTTAGGTCTCCAGAAAGGCCACAAAAATCTCTTAAACCAACTGTAAGCATTAACTCTAAACTAAAGAGCCTAAATTAGCAAGATTAACAAAACTTTAGGTAAGATTATATGTATATTTCCCATATCGTGCCTAAAATTAAAGACTTGGTCATGTAAGCTACCTACCTGGCAGTGGGTAGAGAGTAGTGTCTGCCCCCCCTTACTCTAAGCCTTTGATGGGGAAAGGACTTGTAGAGGGGATTAACAGGTCAGGACCTATAGAAAGGAAGTCCATCAGTCCTCTCCAGTCTAAGTAGGTGCCCCTGGAAATGTTCAGGACATAAAAAGCTTCCCCATCAAAGACTAATTTATCTTCCCTCATTGATCTCCCCTTGCCGCCACTCACTCTATAATGGACACCAAAATTGTTTTAATTAAAGTCGATTCATCTTCATTTACGTGAAATACAGCTAGGCCATGCTAAGCATTTCATCCCAGGCAATGAGTAATAGAGGCCTGATATCCCTGTATGAGAAGAAAATACCATGCAAGACATGCAAATTCCCGAGTGACAATGTTGTCTCTTCTGTCCATGCAGTCTCTCTTACATACTCTATTTCAGTGGAATGAGGAATAAAAGCAAGTGAGAAGAGAAAATTGCCATGACTACCCTTCTATATCTTGGTTTCTTCCTACCCTTATCTCCAAAATATCACCATTTGCCACTTGAGAAACTCAGCGAAGTAGGAAAGGTCTAAAGCAGCAGTAGGTTAAAAGGGCAAGAGGGAAGGGGAGAAATTCCAGTTATCAGCAGTAGATAAAGATGATGCATTGGAGGTGGCCTGCAGAGGAGTCAGGGAGGGTTAAGGAGACATGAGTATAAATAGGTGGACTATAGTTTGCAGCACTAGGTCTTATTTCTAGGGTTAGCAAGTTCTGGGGGCTTAGAGTCTAAACCTCAAAGAAATGTCATTCTGACAATTTTATAGAATCCCAGAATGTTAAAAGTGGAAGGGGCCTTCAGAGACTACCTAGTCACAGAGTTGTTCATTTTTCCTGGGCCACAAACACATCTGAGACTGATGAAGATGCACATCTTCTCCCCAACAGGTAAACAAATCATACCCAGACTCATGTATGCTGAATCACATACATACAATTTCAGGGACACATCAAAGCTCACCCAGAGGTCCCTACCCGAGACTGGCATCCTCAATTTTCAGATGGATAAATAGTACGAGAGAGGATAAGTCACTTGCCCAAGGGCATATATTAAGTGTCAGAGCTCAGGCTGCGATTCAGACTCCCCAACCCACACTATATACCCTATCATCAAGTCAGTCCTCTGCACCTTGGCTGCCTCCCTGCACTCTAGAGATATGCCCCAGTGCTTGGAGATGGGCTTCTGGATGCTGTGATAGAACTGCATCTCTCCTTCCATCTAATTTAGGCTCCCACACAGTAGTCTACAATAGCCCTGGGTATCCTACAGTCATTCTGTAGCTGTCTGTTTAGCAGACCTGAGTCACAGGAAGTATCGTTTTTGTCTTGAAGGCCCAAGTACACTCTAAATAGTAAGCCAGGGTTATTTGTGAGTGTTCTTTAAACTAGGGTCCTTCCATAACACAATTTCTCTTAGACATGCATGCTCTTCTCCCAACCTGCCAATTCAAAGCTCCCCCCATCCCAAGCAAAACTACACTATTCTCTACTAATTCAATTCCTTTTGACTGCTCCCAAATTTATCCCAGTCTTTTAATCCTCAGCCCTCAAGGCTTTCTCCACTTCTGCACCAACATTTCCTTGCTTACAAAATCAAGTTATTTTCCTTTTAACCCTCTATTTCCATAATAGAGGTTTTAACACATTTTTTCACAATTCCCACAACTGCTGATACCTATAAAGACCTACATAAATTTACTCCTTTACTCTCTAAATGTTACAACTAAAAACCTTTCTATACCTGTTCCATCTTGTCAACATCTTCTTCCATCCCTAAATTATTCTAATTACTCATACCAGACCCTCCAGGACATGTGTTTGTCTCTTACTACACACTTTATAGGGCAGAGATTAAACACCTTCCAACTAACCAGAAAACTAAGGGACTTCTTTTACAAAACGTTCACAATTCTGTATTAATTTCTCATCCCATATCTAATTAATAACAATCCTCTGGAGAAACTTCTTTTCATGATTGCTACTATCTATCTATCCATCCATCCATCCATCCCTTAAGTGACCCATCCCTTAACTCAATTATTTATTTACTGCCAACTAAGTGCTAGGGCAGTGATGGCGAACCTATGACACGTGTGTCAGAGGTGACACGCGAGCTCATTTTTTTGGTTGATTTTTCTTTGTTAAATGGCATTTAAATATATAAAATAAATATCAAAAATATAAGTCTTTGTTTTACTATGGTTGCAAATATCAAAAAATTTCTGTATGTGACACTGCACCAGAGTTAAGTTAGGGTTTTTCAAAATGCTGACATGCCAAGCTCAAAAGGTTCACGATCACTGTGCTAGGGGGTGACAAACTTTCTTCCCATGAAGCTCAGAGTGGAGATAGATTTTACCACCAGTGTCGTACAACTCAGTCATTTCAATTATTATATCATAAATTACTTTTCATTATTCTCATCAAAAATACCTCTCCCAGCCCTAGCTGGTTTGGCTCAGTGAATGCAGCGTTGGCCTGCAGACTGAAGGGTCACAGGTTCGATTCTGACCAAGGGCACATGCCTGGGTCACAGGTTCCATCCCCAGTGTGGGGCGTGCAGGAGGCAGCCAATTAATGATTCTCTCTCATCATTGATGTTTCTCTCTCTCTCCCTTCCTCTCTGAAATCAATAAAAATATATTTTTTTAAAAATGCCTTCTCCCATTTAAAACTTCCCAGTGTCCTCATTATTCTATCTGGTTAAAGACTTCTCTGCCCTTCAGGCTTCTAATGCCTTCCTTTAGTTTCTCTGGGCTTCAGCTTACTCCTGTCAAAGTAATCTTGCATGTCACTTAATTAGGCCCCATTTCTCACATTAAAGATTTCGAATGTCTCCTACCGAGGACAGCCTCTCTTTCCTAAAGAAATGCCACACCACATCCCCCAAGCTGCTTAGATAAAAAACAAAGCACAAACAAAAACCCAAGATGACAGTAAAGAAAAGCGTCAAGAATCATCCAGTCCAACTCTTCGTTTTCCAGATGAAGAAAGTGAGGCCCAAAGAGGTAAGTTGGGTTGCCCTAAGTCATAAGGTCAGAAAATATCACTGCTAAATGAATCGAGGATCCAGGTCTTTTATCTTACCTTACCGAAATATGGTTTTCCTTTTTCTCCTATTCTATGCCTTAGAATCTTTTTTTTTTTTTTTACTAAAGTGTGTACCTCCAGGCACACAGTAATTTAAACAAACACACACAAAAGTCTCCATTTTTCACCTAAAGCAGACAGATGATTCACAGCAGTATATTGTA